CATATATTCTCAAATAAGATAATAATGAGATTCAAATAATTCATATCATCTTAGAAAATATGAGGGATTCGATATCAGACGATAAATAATATATGAATATATCATATAATGAATATCTCTTCCATGAAAATAAAAATCAATTCATTAGATTTCCATCATAACGATCTATACCTAAAATTTATTCAATAAATTTTAGAATAAAAGATTCAAGAATAGATTCTAAAATATTGAAGGAATCAATTTCTCGCCTACGAATTTTTAGAAAAAATATATGATGAGAAATCTATAAATTTATATATCTTGAAAATCTATTCCAAAATTTGATATAAATCAATATCTTCTTATTGCGTATTTTATAAATCATATAGAAGATTTTGATTCTAATAAAGCATATCAAAATTTTTTAATTCTCCATTAATAAATAAAAATTCCTATTTGAAATTATGGATATCAGGCGAATCTCATATTAATCGACGAGAATTCATAATATCTCAATAAAGACGCTCTTAAAAAGAATCATATATCGACGACGAGAAAATATATCATCAAAAATCAATCTCTATATTGATAATATATTTTATTAATCTACAAATCGCGCATCATCAAATTATAAGATATATTATAGATATTAGGCTACTCAAATTTATCATTATTATCAAACAAATTATTCTATATTCCAGCTTCTAACCGAACCGACAAATAGATATGATATTTTCCTATCATAAGCTACAATATCCTAAAAATCAAAAGATATATCTCAGATATATCGTGCAAGATTCAAATATCTCAGAGATAATGACCAAGTCGTGAATCTTTATTTTTCTTATAAATAGCGGAAGCTTTTGAAAATCGAATTTCGATATATGATTTGCTAAATATTTCGTAATATATAATATTATGAAAGAGATATCATTAGAAATCGAAAATTAAAATTCAATATATAGATTCCTAATATAGTTCCAAAAAGTAGTCTTCTATTCATATAATTCTAAAAATTCAATTTTCGATATCAAATTTCTAATTGCAGCTAAATAATAAAAATTCGGAATTCTCCATCTAGACGCTCGATTTCATAAGCGCCCATTCGAGACGCGCATCAATAGCATAACAACGCATCAAAACCAACCTCTCTCATCTAGACTCATAATTCGAAACCGCTCGAGACGCCCATCAGTGGCAACAGAACCATCAAACCCGACGCTCGATCCAAAAGCCCCTCGAGACGCACATCAGTGGCAGCAGAACCATCAAACCCAGCCGTTCCCCATATGGACACTCGATTCTACGTGGAACCATCGGATCGTTCACAAATAGAAGTGATTGCTTGAAAGCGGTTTCCCGAGTGTGATGTTCATCGATGCGTCTTTCGACCCAGCAATGCGAAATAAAGCGACCATTGCCAGAAATAGCTCAACAATATAAGCATGTTCAATTGAAAAATATAATAGAAATTCTTATCGTAGTTAAGATGAGATATCCAATTATTTCCCTCTTGCTTGCTGAAGATACTAATCAAGCTAAAATTTGAGACGTCGTGCCTCCTTGCCATATCGAGCCCTTGTGTTTGAAGATAGTCATTGGCCTATCTGGAATCGCTTGCAGCTCAAACACACGTTCGTGCAAACCAAGTGTGTGCAAATATACTCACACAGCCACCTCGGAAAACATGGAAAACAAGTAACCCTGTGAGGTTCTCAGTACTGTCAAAAAGCCCACCGGACAAGTTACACAAAGCAGGTGCAAAGTCGCAAGGCCCCCAAGCTGTTTTTGACGCGCGTTGCGCATGACTTCGATCAACAAACATGACAAGAGGCAGCAGCAACTATTCAGCCGCTTCTTCGGCGAATAATAATATAACCCGTCAAATTCTATGTTGACTCGATAGCTAGCCTCTTGGCCTGTTTCACTTGCCATGCATGTACTTACTTAGCAAGGCTCATTTCGAGCCTTGGGACTGCACAGCCGGAGCCTCCCTTCTGAACTGGTGCAGCAGGCAGGCTCCAGCTTGAAAACATATCAAACCCTCACTGTACAGAGCCATAGATCGCTCTTGTCTCGCCTCCTTCGAAGGAATTCAATACAAAAAAACGACACTGTCTAGCTGTCTCCGGATGCATCTGCATCGGCTGTGGGACGGATGTGTTGACCAACCTGAACCGACGGCCGGCCACCGATAATCCCAACATAGCAGCCAGGAGGGCATGTTCGGTCCTCCTGGGGATCGTCCGGGTACACAACACACCATGCAGATCCTCCCCCGCATGGAGCTACTCCCATCGACCCGTACCGGGTTGTGATGCAACATGCTTGAAACGCGCCATCACAGCTTCCTTTCTCTTCATGTGTGCTTATGCACCCTTTTACAATAGCGTGGTAATAGGCGGGGCAAGCCGACCCGCATGACCTCAGATGCCGAGGCAGGGCCAGCATTGAAATTCAGTTGGTTCCAGAACTGGTCATCCCAATGTTGCGTGGTGTCTCACGAAAACTGTGCTATCCTCGTTTTGTTCAATCGTAGGTGAATTGTGGGAAGGCTGTCGGGTTTGCTCCAATTGAAGCTGCTGCTGACCCTACAACTCCTGCAGCTACGGTTGCTACTGCTTCTACCACCACCACGACCAGATAGCTAAGGCTCTGAAGTAGCTGCATAAGTGCCTGGTTGACGCTCACCTTGCAAACAGCGGCACAACTGCAGACTAGGCACGTCAAGGCTTCTGCGACACAAGCGGCCGTACCAGTGCCACAAGATGGAACCACGGTCTGGAAGGTTTCTTGGATTTGGTCTGGATCTGTGATGCAATCGATCTCCAGGTCCCCGACGCTCTGCCGGCTGACTTTAGAAACAGTAAGCGTGCCAAACAGCTGCAATGCGGCTACGTGATAGAGCTCACCAAACCTGGCTGGGATCTCGTCACCAAAGTGGAGGCTGACCTGTTCAGTATGTCCTCCAGAAATGTGCGCTAGTGGAGAATCCAGGACCCACTTGTGTGATATGAGTTCAATACCGATGCTGGGCCGTCTTTCGTCAATTTTCACGGCACAGCCGCCCGCGTTCACCATCTCTAGATGCGGATAGCTGAGTATGGGCACGGAAGCCATGCTCCACTGCTGCAGCTGCTTCCGGCTGCCCCCAACCAAGATCATGCACAGCCCTAGCTTGTCGGCCAAGCCAGCGCACAACAGACTCAAGCCCAAATCAATGTCGAAAGTGATGCCAAAATCGTCGACCTTGCCCTCGGGCACATGCTCCTGCTACGTCGGAGCTGGGCGAGGGAATCGTGCCTTGGATTCTAACGGGCATCGTGGTTTCAAGCACAGCAGGCTAGCCGAAGCTTAGACCTTGAGGACGTTGTCAAGCACGACCGTGGCGGTCAACTCTGCGTTGAAGCTGGGCACCACGGCCAGCTCCAAACCCAAGAGCCCTGAGACAAGGACTTGGAGCCCAAAACTTGCAGAGACATGGGAAGAAAGGTGCACCACCAAGCTGGCGCCCAAGTCCACGGCCTTTGAAAGGCCGGACTCCGAGCGGGCCACCTGCCAGCCGCCTTCGAAGCCCTGAAATCGAGCCTCGAACCGTTGCTGCTGGGATAGCTCAACGGTCAATGCTGATGTCATCTGAGCAGTAACAGTGGCACCAGAACTGAAGGAGAGAGGGGGCGAGCTGGATCCACACACCGGGTATGGGGGTAGGGATGGGAGGAAGCTTGGGCATTGGGACAGATGCAGAAGCTTCCTTGCTAAGGACGTTCGTCATCCGGTTGAACTCAAGGCTGCTTCTTAAAGACCAGTCGAAGTCTGTAGTAATCAGGATAGAACTGATGATACCAGGAAAAATGATGCTGAGGCTCACCCTGACCTGTGCGTTTGCCCGCAGCTCACCCTCCAGGTTTAACCCCGCCCCGAAGTCCAAGTGCACAGCCTTCAACATCGACCAAAAGCGGGTCTTCTGTAAGTCCTCGAGCCGACGACCCTCAGACCCTTCGCTTGGTAATGAGACCGTGGTGTCCAGCTGCAGCTGCTTGTAAACGTCAGTGATCGCTGCTGGCCGTGTATCAGCAACAAGCATGAGCCCCCGAACAGTGATGTTCTCCGCTATGACGAAGAAAGACTCCCCGGAGCTGTCAGTGCCCGTCAAGCAGGACCCGTGCGAGACGTCAGGCAAAGCTGCCTTGTCCGTGGCAAGCAAGCTGATGCTTGATGCGTTGGCTTCTACTTCCAGTTCATCACCGGCTTCCACAGGCACTATCCTTGTGCCTTCTGCGCGGATGCTGTCAATACCCGCAACCAAAACATGTATAGTAAGTTGATCTGTCGACATCTCATCGTGTCCGAAAGCGGCAGCTACGGCCAGCAACGAGACAGTAGTGTTAGGTGTCATGTTCTTCAGCGACGCATTCAACTGGTCTCCAAGCCGAAGAACAATAACACTGTCCGTGCCACCCTCATCGGAGTCGTCGGAGTCGTCGGAGTCTGAATCGTCAGAAGCGTTCAGCACGTCTTCCACAGTAAGATTCGTTGGCTTGTGGGCGTAGGCCAAGAAGTACTCAAAGCGTTGATGGGAACCGCTGCTCAAAACAGCAGGCCACGAAACATCCACTTCACTAACCCGGAAAGACACTGCGGATGTGATTCCAGCAAATGACCATGCACTGACTACAGACGTGGTTGTTGTCGTCAGGGTGAGAGTGGTCGTCTTTGCTGGCTGTATGAAACCAAGAGTTGTGATTGCTGCTGTGGGGTCCGCAGCAGCTTGGCTTGTGCTGGTGGCGCCTAGGAATGACCCCTCCGCACTTTTTGTTGTTTCTGATTCCATCCAGTCCTCGGACGGGTCAGATGTATTCTGAATACAACCTTGGAGACCGCCAGCCAGATACGCGATACAAAGTGCCGGCAGACAACTGCGGGCACACTTGAACAATTCCTGGCACGAACCGCCCATGGCAGTGACAGCAGGCTTGCCGCCGAGGGGTTGAAAATCAACTTTCTGCAGAGCTTCCTTTGTCAAGCTCTGCAATTGCCCCTTAAGCCAACAGAAGGGGGTCACAAACGCGTGACATGACAAGCAGGACCACAGCAACCAAGAAAGACATGGCAAATTATCTAGCCTTCCTGTTTTGACAGGGACAGGGGAAGAGGGCAAGGTTTTCTTTCAACGACTGAGGTCTGGATATAGCCATGGGAATCCGCACGATTTTGCAGTGTGGAACTTCGGATTTGGCCGAGGTCTAGGTTGGGGCATGCTTTCGGGTGGCTACCAAAAGCAAGCAGCAATCAGCAATCCGGGGCACTTTGGCTGCACGATGCTGCACGGTAGACATGAAGTGCCGACACTTACAGGTCGCAGATGGCTCTCGTGACGGATGCATCGCGATATCAAGACAAGGCTTGCAAGTCTTGCCTGTTGTAAATCGTAATAATGGGCTTTCCGCCACAGAGAAAGCTTCCGTTCGTATCGCACTTCAGGCTGTAGCAGTTTTTTCCGTCGTCAATGGCACTCGAAGTCATTTGGTGCCAGCTTCGGCAGCCTGTGTCTAAATGGACGCAGAACCTGAGCCTGACGACTGCACATCGAACCGTAGAGTCACGCCTGTCCCATACTGTATGCATCATAGCAAGCTACGGCATACATGGCAGCGAGTAGGCTGCCGAAGTGTCTGCTACAGCGGGCCCACCCCACTCTTTGCAGGCATCGGCGGATTCATTCCTCCAGGACCCATCCTTATAAAATGCACTGCAGGTTCAACACCTCATGATTTCACAACTTGCACTGCTCAGGCTGTGCGAAGACCCAACACCGCTTCAGCTAGAAGAGCTCAAGAACTTGTTGCTAAGCTCCGAGCGGATGTGAGGTGACTGCCGCAAGGCTTCCCTGCACCCTGCACATTTGGCTTTTGTTAGGCGTGCCATGAAACATGAAACAGGCGTGGATCTTGTCTCCAATGGAGCTGTCTGCAGCAGGCCTTCTGATTCGGCTCATGAGCAACGCTGATGCATTCAGGCCTCTCAGCGGACCCTCTCCGATGACCTGACGGAGACAAGCCAGAGTTGGAACAATTTATGCTTGACTTTTCAGCACTTGCCTGCCGTTGCGCATCCGCCGGCAGATTTCTCAGCGCACCTTCTGCTGATGCCTTGACTGTCTCGAAACAGCAGACGTTCACCAACGGCATTCCTGCGAAACACAACACGAACAAGTGGCGTCGACGCCGTACTGGGCAATGAAGGCGGAGACCAAATCCCTCAAGCGCACGTCCCAATCGAGTTTGCGCCACAAGCGCATCGAGACGAAACTCAAAGCAACCTCCCGTTTTCGCAACGAAGACTTTCAGAAGTCTGGGGTGGGCAAACACGCAATGCCCGTGGGTTAGCCTGGATCGTGCAGCACAGAAGCCCTTCACTCCTGCAGTGCATTCTGTGCGGCAGTGTGTGCAGCAAGGCATCAAAGACTGATATTGTCAAGGCGGGGCTTCGCCCCACTGTGCCACAAGTGAAACATCTGACAGGGGCACCGTGCCCTGCTGAAACCCTACCTGTGTCACCTATGTCTGTTTCTGCGCATCTTGTATATCTTGTGGCCGAGCATTGCAAGGTTCGCCAGCCTGCGGGCAGGCATGTCACCAGTACTCAATCTTTGGTTTCTCTCGTTCTTCTTCATAGAGGAGCGTCCCGGTACTCTCTCTCTATCTCACTCTACACACGTGCGCGCTCCTTGCGCGTGAGCGCTCCCTGGTTGTTTGTTTGTGTAAGACTTCGCTATACGATGAGGCCGAGTTCGTGCTCCGTTGACCCCCCTATTGTGAACATAACCACCCCCCGGACTCTTCGTAGCTCAGAGCCGGCTCTGTGCGCCAAGCGGCGGCGTATTGCCGCACTTACAACTCTTTGGAGCTGACAGCTTTCCCCCCCCAGTGGCTAGGTAGAACACAACACAATGCCCCCACTGGTGTTCCTGTGGCTGTTAGCTCCTCTCTCTCTCTCTCTCTTTCTTTCTTTCGCCAGGGCTGTGGTGCAGGGGTTGACCCCCTACACCGCGCGCAGGTGCGCCCCCGACTGTTGCGGGTGCCAATAGTGGAAAATGCAAAAGGGGCAAACTGCAATCAGGAGGAGTGATGGGGTCGCCCCCCGATTGCCCGGAAAAAACCATCCTGCATGCTGGGGCAACAGCCCTATGGAGAGTCTGGTAAAAGGTCTCGGATGCCCGTGTGGGGCAAGGAAAGGATAGGAGTCTGGGATGGCTCAGCGACCCGTCTTAATGTACAGTCCTGAGCTGCAAGCTCAAGTCGAAATTCGAAACACTGGATTGAGGGGTAGGGGCTGGCACTCCCCTACCTTCGGCTCGAAAGGAAAACAGTAGCTCTGTCAGCAAGGTGCTCTGGGAAGGTTACAGGTCCGAGGATCTCCCCCGTAGTGAGGAAGATGGAGGTCTCAATTAACAAGGGCGGACGAATTTCTCTTTCCGGGGTTCAGCTCACCCAAGTGAAGAAAACAGGGAAAAGTGCCGGGGTTTCCCCCCATGGAGATGGAGGTTATTACCCCTCACAAAGGGTTTCCCTGTACAGAAAGAAAAGGCTTCTCTCACGCTGACTGCTGTCACTCGCTGCATCTCAGTCCAGCTCGTTCCGGCCGCGCTTTTTGTCTGGCTGCCATTCCCCGGCTCTTCTTTGAAGCCTCCTGTGAGTTCTGTAGGCCTCTGCCTGCTCTGGTCACGGTAGCGTTTCCATAACGCCGCATCATTCTCTGCTGCGTTCGTGCGGGCGATGTCCCCGGACTCCAACAGTTGCTGCAACCTTTGCCTTTGTCTAGGGGTGAGTCCTGAGGGAGGTCCGGTCGGTTCAGCCGGTCTGTCAGGGTTGTCCCCCGTGTGGTTGGCATTCTCCCCCGCATTGTCGTCGCC